TTTATTACTTTGTGTATGAATGTAATGCCTGAATGTAGGTAGGTGTACCTGTGTAGTGCAGTGCCCTTGGAAGTCATAAGAGGGTGTCAGATCCCTTGAAACTGGAGTTACAGACAGTTGTCACCTACCATGTGGGTGCTGGGAATCGAACCAGGGTCCTCTGCAAGAACAGCCTGTGCTCTTAACCACTGAGCCATTGCTTCAGGCCCCTCCATCACTTTTCTAATCTCTGTGTTTTTCTCTCCCAGTCTTCTTCATAAAATTGCTCATAATTTTCCTATGGATTACACTGGGAAATAAATCCAAGCTACCAGCTTCTTACCCAATTTGGAATGGTTGCTACTGATAGAAATTAATAAAGCTTATTCAATAGCAGTTAAATGCCATATGGCAAATGTCTTCCTAAAATGGATATAAAATTCAAAACATTTAGACACTAAATGTGGATGTTAAAGATATTTGACTCAGTGGACAGAGTCCCAGGCCAGCCAGAGCTACAATGAGACCCGTTGTCAAAAACCAAACCAAAATTACACTGTGCTTACAGGCCCCAAAGCTCTGGGCAGGTAGAAAGGATGACTAGAACACTAAAAGAGACCCTTACTAAATTAACCATGGAGACTGGGGGGGACTGGGTGACTCTCCTTCCCTTTGCTCTATATAGGGTGAGAAACTCACCCTATCTGTTGGGTTTAACTCCATATGAAATCACGTTTGGAAGACCCTCTCCTATCCCCAATTTAAAAGCTGAATTAAGCCAGGCGTAGTGGCGCACGCGTTTAATCCCAGCACTCAGGAGGCAGAGGCAGGTGGATCTCCGTGAGTTCAAGGCCAGCCTGGTCTCCATAGCGAATCCAGGCCAGCTAGGGCTACAGGGAGACCCTGTCTCAAAAAGACCAAAAAAAGCTGAATTAATTGCTGAGTTTGATAACCGTCAGTTGCTTGATTCTCTACAGGCTGTGGCAGACACCCATAGGATGTGTGGCCCCATCTGAAAGCTATTTATGAGACTGCTCCTCTTCCTACCCTACACAACTACCGGCCTGGCGATTGGGTTTATGTCCACAGACACCACTGCAAGACTCTAGAACCCCGCTGGAAAGGACCATACGTGGTGCTCCTGACAACCCCAACTGCAGTGAAAGTAGACGGAGTTACCATCTGGGTTCATCACACCCACATCCGGCTAGCAAAGCCACACTCAGACCCAGATAGGTTGCCCTCCACTGATCTCTGCACCGGATCCAAGGCCCATCGGGATGCGGACAATCCCCTCAAGTTAAGACTACGCCGCTTTTAATGTTCACCCTGCTTCTTGTGATGGGCCCATGTATAACTGCTAACCCTCACTAACACTACAATCTTACCTGGTTGCTTCTTGATACCACTACAGGAAACGTCCTGGTCCAGGAGTCCAAACACCTGGTACCCGGAGTTAGGTTTCGACCTCCACCGCTTACTCCCTGAGCAGAGCCATTGGGGGCTGTGTCATACTTATTTTTATGTTTGTCCAGGAAGCAGGGGAGGGGATTGGAAAAAGCAGTGTGGGATAGACAGTGATTATCTTTGTAAGTCCTGGAGCTGTGTGAGCACAGGAGACATCTATTGGACAGCTCCCATCAAAAATGATCTTATCAAGGTGGCCTGCAATAACACACCTGATGCCATTTTCCATGGCCAGAGGGTTGAAACATGTAATAGAAGAACAGGCTGCAACCCTGTTAAGGTGGTATTCATTGATGCAGGAAAGAGAGAGCTCACCTGGGAGACGGGAAAGACCTGGGGATTGAGAACTTATAATTTTAGCCTGGGGGGCTTTTCACTATCCTCCTCAAGAAAGAGGCCCCCACTTCTGTTAATACCCCAAGGTGTTGGCCCCAATCAGTTCTTAGTTCCCCCACAACCCAAACCTGGCCCTAGGCCCGCGCCTGCAAGGGAGGCTGCGACAGCCTCTACAATGGAAAACACAACTGCGGGGACACCAGTCGCTTCATCCCCGGACTTCAGTGCTACCCCACAGCATCCTATTTGGATGCTAGTTATCTCCACCTTTGAGGTACTTTCCAAATCTAACCTGAGGAATGTTGGCTCTGCTTAGTGCCCAGCCACCCTTCTATACAGGTATAGCCATAATGGGTAATTACTCTAATGTGACTCGGCACCAGTGCACCTAGGGACATCAGAGTAAAATTTCTCTTCAGCAGGTGGTAGGGACTGGAACCTGTACTCTGTCTCCCGTCCAACCCCTGGCGGGCTTATGTAATCAAACAATTTCTGTCTCAAATGACACTTATGCTGCTACTTCCGGCTGGTGGGCTTTGTTCCACAGGTTTGACCCCCTGTATCCATGGGACAGTCCTCAGTACGGGAAGTAGTTACTGTGTCATGGTGTGGCTGGATAACTTACTATGAGGAGACTCAGATGGAACTAGCCTGTCACCTATACCCTCCACCAGAACCAAGAGGGCTATAGGGGCAGCAGCTGTTTTACTGTCTTCCCTAATCGGCTTAGGGATAGCAGGGCAACTAGAGTAGGCACTTCAGCCCTAGTCTTGCAGGACCAGAACTACAGAGCCCTTCAATTGGCTACCAATGCCCATCTCAAAAATTTGGAACAATCCATTACTAAACTAGAGGAATCTTAAACTCCCTAGCTGAAATTGCCTTTCTAGACCTAGGAGAGATCTAGATCTACTTTTCATGCAGCAGGGAGGCTTGTGTGCGGCCTTAGGGGAAGAATGTTGTTTCTGTGTTAACCATTCTGGTGTAATTAGAGATTCTATGGCCTTGCTCAGAAACCGTATTAAGGATAGAGAACAAACAGAATCCGGGTGGTATGAATGGCTTTTTAACTGGTCCCTGTGGCTCACCACTTTGCTTTCTGCCTTAGCCAGACCCCTCGTTCATTCTTCTTTTATTAATGTTAACTATCAATCGGCTGGCTGCCTTCATTAGAGAACGGGTGAGTGCAATACAACTCATGGTCCTGAGGTCCCAGTATCAGCCCGTAGACCCCCTCATTAGAGACCCAACCCAGACCCATGACTGGGTCATCCTTGTTACTAGAAGAGGGGGAAATGTGAGACTCAACTTGTCTAACAGCTTCTTTCTGCTTCTCAGCACGGATCCGCTGCATCGGTGAAATCTGAGGGCCTGAGCAGCCTGAATAAAGGCTCTTTGCTTTTGCATACTCTCCAGACTCCTTGGTGGTCACTGGGGTTTGCAGGATCGGGGTACAGCAGAAACAACGGATTTTCCTTTGGAACATTCACAGCTGAGATTGGGAGGACAGGGTTAGGTCCTAGTCTTTGCTAGTAACTAAACCCTGCACTGTGGTCCTACTCCTGCTGGGAAGGTGTTAAGATCCCAGCAAAGAGGCTGGAGAGATGGCTCAGCAGTCAAGAGCAAGAACTGCTCTTGCAGAGGACCCTGCTCTTGCAGAGGACCTGGGTTCGATTCCCAGCACCCACATGGCGGCTATGAACTCCAGTTCCAGGGGAATCTGAAGCCCTCTTCTGACCTCCGCGGCATTGCAGGACACGGATGCACACTCACATACATGCAGGCAATACACTCATAAAGTAAAAATAACAAATAAAATATTAAAAAAAGATCCCAGCAAAGGCTTAGAGATGAAGCAGAGCCAAGACAAAGGGTTCCCACACTCAGAAGGCTGAGGCGTCAGGACTGTCAGGAGTTCTTATTTAAACAAAAAGCCCACCTTTAATACCAGCACTCTTGAAGCAGAGGCAGGCAGATCTCTGTAAGAACCAGGGGCTACAGGGAGACCCTGCCTCAAAAAAATAGCCACAAAACAAGCAAAAATCTCACCACCGTGTTGAGAGACTCAAAAGTCAAATCACTTGTTTACCCTGGGCAGAAGAACATCTCAACTGTCTTGTCACAGTACATAGGACTGTAGGTGTATCAAAAACATTTTCAAACAACAGTGCCAAGACCCTTGAGAAGCTCTAGTTCCTACCCATGGGAGCCCGGTACTTTAGCATAATCCTTGAGGCCCACTGGCAGGGAACCAACCGAGTGAAGTGTGCCCCAAAGCAGGGCACTCCTTAGCAAGGCCGGCCTGGGCTGTGCCAGGGGCAACGGCCTGCCCTCCGGCCCCACTCGCTGTGCTCGGTAAGCTGCTTCCCAGTCCTACAGTCTAGGCCAGATGCCGGTTTCCCTAAGGGCACAGGGTCTGTCTGTATAACCAGGAATTCACTGTCTTCGTGCCTGGGCTTCCGGAGGGGAAACCCACAAAACAAATGGGAACTTGGGGCTGGAGAGCTGGCTCAGCGGTTAAGCACACCGCTGCTCTTGGCAGAGGACCAGGCTTCGATTCCCAGCACCCACATTGCGGCTAACAACCAGCCATAACTCCAGCTCCAGGCGATCCGAGGCCCTCTTCTACCTCTGTAGGCACTCACTGCACGGTGCACTTACATACATGCAGGCATAACACATACAATAAAAATAATAAAAACTCTTTTGGTCTTTTTGAGACCTGAAGCCCCACTGGCCTGGACTTCGCTATGGAGACCAAGTTGGCCTTGAACTCGTAAGAGTTCCACCTACGTCCGCCTCCTGAGTGCTGGGATTAAAGGTGTGCGCCACCACACTCGGCAATAAACATTTTTAAGAACAAATGGGAACTTTCATCCTAAAGGCTTAACAGACACACGCCCCACCCTTCGCATCTTTTGGGCCCCTCAGGAGGAGGTCAGGTCCAGACCGATCCCAGACAGGTAAATGAAGACGCCCCGTGGCTCAAGACATAATTCCCAGCATGCCCCACGGCGCAGGACACAATTCCCATCATGTCTCGCGCCGAACATTCCCAGAAGGTCCCGCGCGGAGGCTGAGGAGGCGGGGCTTTCCCGGTTCGCCCCACGCCACCCAGACCACTACTCTCGGCCTCAGAGGGCGGAGCGTTCCCAGCATGCCCTGCGTCCTCCATTCCCTGAAGGCTGCGAGCGGGGCTGTGGGGGCGGGGCGTTCCCGGCATGCTTCAGGGCCCGCTGCTGCTGCTGCCCGCGGGGTTTGAATTGAGCGCTCTGTTTTCCCGGCGGCGGCGGCGGCGGAATGGGGTCCCCGGCTCTGCCTCCGTCCTGGCAGCTGTATCTCAAGGACCACCGCATCTCTACCTTCAAGAACTGGCCCTTCCTGGAGAATGGGGTCCCCGGCTCTGCCTCCGTCCTGGCAGCTCTATCTCAAGGACCACCGCATCTCTACCTTCAAGAACTGGCCCTTCCTGGAGGGCTGCGCCTGCACCCCGGAGCGGGTGAGACGGTCCCGCCTCCCGAGAACGTCCGGTTGCTCCCCCACTCGGGCCGCCGAGTCCTCCCGCCCGGACCACCGAGTTCCCCTACCCGGGCCACCTTGTCCTCGGCCGCCGAGTCACCCTCCAGGGCTCCTAGTCCTACAGCCCGGGCTGCTGAGTCCAGGCATTTCCGTTCTAGCTTCAGAACTACTCCCTGAGGCTGATTGTGCTTTAGTGATGGGCGGGGGGTCAGGAGTCCCCACTCCCCCGATTTGGCCCTGACCAAGACAACCTCCCTAGCTCTCGGCCCAGAACCACCCTTCCTCAGTGCTGGTAGTCCAGAAGGACCTCTCCCCGGGGACTTCTGCACTGTCCGTAGCGACACCTCCCTAGCTCTCAGCCCAGAACCACCCTTCCTCAGTGCTGGTAGTCCAGAAGGACCTCTCCCCGGAGCTGCTGGCCCCAGGGCCAGACTGTCACTTCTGCTCAGGAGCTGTGTTCTTGCAGATGGCGGAGGCTGGCTTCATCCATTGTCCCACTGAGAATGAGCCTGACTTGGCCCAGTGTTTCTTCTGCTTTAAGGAGCTGGAAGGCTGGGAGCCAGATGACAACCCCATGTAAGTATCCCCACACTAGTCTCAATAGGCTTCCTGGTGCCCTGTTTGTATTAGGAGCCTTCTTGGTTGAATCGGGGTTGGGAAAAGTGACTTTAGTTTACAGGGTTGTTGGTACAGGAGCATGACCATCCCAACCTTACTAAGTTGAAGGGACACATCTGCATGTGCTGGTGCCTTGGTAATACCAACAACCTAACTAAACTGATTTGACCAACACATCCTTTAAGAAGGATTTTAAGAGAAAGGCTGCAGAGATGGCTCAGGAGCTAAGAGCGCCGGTTGTTCTTGCAGAGGACTGCAGTTTGGTTCCCATGACCCACATGGCAGCTAACATGTTCTTAACTCCAGTCCCAGGGACTCTAACAACCCTCCTCTAACCTCCCTGGGCATTGTTCAACACAAGTGCACTTACATGCAGGCAAAACACTCATACACATAAAATAAAAGTAAATAAAATACTAAAAGGCTCATTGGGTCTTAATGCTTGCTGCCTGTTGAACATTCAGCAGAATACAGGATCTGCTCCTGCCCTGTGTACTCCCAAGAATCCGAAAGTGTGCTTACTTCCTCTGTGTGTGTAGGTGTGTAGGTTCACATGTGTGAAGGTTCACATGTGTGCACCACGTACCTTTATTTTGAGATAAGGTCTTTCTTTCTGGCCTGGAATTTGTTAAGTGGGCTAGACTGGGTGGCCAACAAGCTCTGGGAACTCTTCCTGTCGCTGCCTTCCCAGTATTAGGACTCTACCCTGCCTGGGTTTTTACTTGTTTTTTAGCATGTATTCCGGGGATTGAACTCAAGTCCTTGTGCTTGCAAAGTAACCGCTTTATCACCTGAGCCATCCTCATCTTCTGTTTTGTTTGTTTTGAGACAAGGTCTTGCTGTATATTTCAGACTGGCCTTGAACCTGTTACATAGCTCAGACTAGCTTTGAATTCAGTCTTTCTGACTTCAGCCTCCTGAGTGCTGGGATGACAGAGGAGTATTGACATGCATGGCTCTCCCTGGGACTCTAAAAATACTATTTATTTTTCTTTTTGTGTGTGTAAGCCATGTGTAGAGGTCAGAGGACACTTTGTGGGAGTTGGCGCTCATGACCATGTGGGTCTTGGGGATTAAACTGAACAGCAAGCATTGTCACCTGCTGAGCCATCTCAATAGCTCATGCCTGTGATCTTTTTTTTTTTATTTTAATTTTTGTGTATTTCATACATAAAATCATCTTTCCCCTTCCCCCCTCCCCTTTGACATCCTCCCATAGCCCCCCCACACACTGGAGTTCATACATTCTGTCATTTGTGTTAAGGCCTATCATGTAAAGTTAGTGTCCTCAGATGTCCCTCAGTGCAAGTTCATCCACTGGGATCTAGTCAGGCTATCTAGAGTCCCTCTCCTTAAGAAGATCAGCTCTTCCTCACCCAGCAGTAATCAGCTGCCAATAAT